TTATTACTGAGGTCTATTATTTTATTACTAGTTTTATTACTTTTAGTCTGGGGACTGACTGTGTTAGCGAAGTGAATGTAACCCTGCCCATAGGCTTCCGTCCCTTCACACAACTTGATGTGAAGTGGACGAGCAAAATCAATTGCCTTCATATTGGTATACATAACTTGGAGTGCAACCAAAACCACCTTACAATAAAACTTGATAGTTAAGTACTGACCTTGATATTTGATCTTTGCATTGATGAAGCAAGGAGTGCAAGATCAGATGATGTGAGAGAAACAAAAAACAGAATGAGTGAATCGAGACGTGAACATCGAGCAAGAATAGATGCCAGAGTGTATTTATCATTTGGAGTGAGAGTCATGTTGCCGAAATCAATCTCACGGATGGAGGATTTGATGATATCATCGACGCCATCTCCAGACTCATTGAGAGAGTGCATCAGCTCGAGAAGATCTTCCCTCCTTACTGCCTCTCTTCCTTTGATCTCACGTTGGAACCAGCCTGGTCTGATTTGCTTCTTCATGCTTGATAACAAGATCGATCGTTTCTTCTCCAGATCAATATCTTAGAAACAAAATGTTGTGAATTAAACCTCGAATAGTAGAACTGAAAATGAAGCTCAGGGCTGTAGAGGATAAAATTTCATCATATGCCAGTGAGAGAAACGCCAGTCGAGACCGAAAAAAAATTTAAATAATTATTACCTAAACAAAGAGAGCAGATTTTATCAAATTTCCAATATCTCAACGCAAAAAAAATCAGCAGGGTGTCAATCGTAATTTCAGATCTGTACCCCTGGACAGGTTAAGTCTAAAATATCCCAAAATAAATTCCAATTTGAGATTGAGATTTTTTTGACAGATTTTTTTTGAATTGCTGGACTCCTCACTACCGTTAGATAGTTTACGAAACAGCTGGTCGGTTATCATTTCCTCCACTATCAAAATAACTGGCTAACTAAACCCATACCCGGATACATGGACCAGTATCGGGATGAGAGGCCGTGGTTTGTCATATGAGTAGTGTCTCATCGGATTTGTTCTCCCCAAGAATTAAAATTGTGAATCCTATCCTAATATTTCAGATTTCTGACAAACCTAAATTTGCGAAAATAGACAGGAACAATTTGTATGCGAACCGTAACATACTCTGATACAAGTTATCAAAATACTGCTTCTCCCCATTCTATAGAACTCCAATTTCAAAATACTGAACAATGTTATCATCGCTAGATAAATATCGCGGAGTGAACATCATGCCCACCACCTCACCTACGATATAAGAAATTTGATAAGCAATGCCAAAACAGAAAAAAGTTCCATCCCTCAAAATATAGTAGCCTCTGTGGAATTATGTTACAGGAATAGTTTTAATTGTAAATTCTCAATATTTTAACCACGGAGAATCAAAAAATTGCATAACAATTCTTGTCGAATTTTTTATTGATATTGTATTCAATATCAGTCTATATTTAACTGAGCGTTTCATTAGTATAATTCTGAGTCTGAAAATTTTCAAACGGGAGACCTCAAGTATTGCTTTGGCCACGGGACCAGCAAAATTTGATATTGTTGGATTACCTTGAGACCAATGCGAATTTTGAACTTGTCGATATGCAAGAATATAGTTTAATTAAAAACAGTATTTTGCAAAACTTCAATTTTGAATAGTTTAGAAACACTAGACTATGCTAGAGAACTCACCAGGCTTCAAAAGGCTGACATCAGCCTCTTTTTCCATTGCAACTTTGGATGTTTTAGGGTTGAGTATAATGCCGCATAAGATTTTACGAACTACGACCCAATGCTTTTCATGGATTTCGGTTGATAGAAACTTTTTGAATTCTTTGAAAGGCATTTCAGCAATGTAAAGGGCAGTGAGGGCCTCCTGTTTAAGCAAAAAAAAACCATTTGAGCAATGCAATACTCGAAACTAAGAAGGAAGTTTTATCTACTATCAAACGTAAGCCATGAATTTAAATGTTATGGAATGGAACGGCTTCATTTGACGAAATAAATTTTTGGTTTGAAATTTTTGTCCTCATGGTTTGATTATATATAACTCTACGTGAATGAACCCACAGGCTTAGCTTTAAAAATTTGTTAGTTTCGAAACTAAGCTGGTCTGGATAATATAATATTGAACCCTAAAACCCCACCTAGTCCTAGTGGATCTAATTCACCTACTTGGATTGTCTGATGCGTAAATAAATAAACAAGATGTCCTTCCAGAAGCCTTTGATTGAGCCCGATTGATCCAGGAAATGGTACCATGATATCTTTGAAATGATCCACAGTAATTCCTGGGGGTAAATCTGATTTGGTGAAAGTAACTTTCTTGTTTTTTGTGCCCTTGAATGACATTTCCTTCAAGCTGTGAACAACGTCATAGATAGACATCCCAGTTTTCATTTGGTTCATTGTGATATGTTCGGATCTCAAGGTGTCCCGCAGGACAAACAACAAAACTTCTGTCATTGTGTCGGGACTATATTGCTCATAGATTATCAAGACTGATACCGTGAAAATTAGGAACATTGGTATGGAGCACAGGGAGAAGATAGCCTTAGCTTCATTTGCAGACGATTCATGACATAGGCACTCTTGTCTCCACTGAAAGCTTTGACAAGTTTTATGACGTCTTCTTCAGAGAACCCCGCCAACGCGATGACTCTCTCGGGACGAGCATCTCCTTGAAAATTTCGAATGACATGCTCACGTGAGGAGTAAAGAATGCGGATGCCTGGGTAGAGCTTGCCAGCGAGGATGAGGTTTAGAATAAGCTTGGGATCTGCTTTTACTTTATGATTGCATTTGCCATGTGGGATTCCAAGACTTTCGGGGAAGAATATTGATCAGCTCCATCAAGAACGAGAAGAAACCTTTCAGGATATTCCCTGATCCATCCAACACCCATGTCAATGACATCGTCATTCAAATCCGTTTTCCCAAATAAGAAATTTTTTGGGCTAATTCTTCTATGAACCTCAAGATCTCGGAAGTCCATGCGATGAACAACCTCAACCTTTCTAAGCTCTGGTATCTTACCATCGAGCACATTAACGGGGTATGTTTTTGTCATTTCAGTTTTACCATATCCAGCTCCTCCTATCAGAGCAACTCTTGATTTTCCATCTGAGAAAAAGTTCTCCATGGATATTGGGTTGCCAGGTTGTTTCTGAGTTTGCTGACTGAAACCCACTTCTGGTTTGTACTCGGATTCTTGTACTGTGGTTTCGTAATAGTTAACTTTTACTGTTTTGGGATTGGTTCTGAAATCGGGGGTTTTGAGATACTTCTTTTCGATGGGCTTTGCACTTCTCCTAGTTAAATCGTTGATGGCATCCTTGAATTCTTGGACTTTTTCTGTGACATGAAACAAAAAATAATCTGGCATTAGCACAACATGTATACTCTTGTTTTGTTTCATTGATAGAGCATAGCATTTTCAGAAGGGGAATTACAAAGTATTTATGGAATTAATTTAGTCTCAATAGACAAAATCGTAGCTTTATTTAACAGTCTCATTTCAGAAGAAGAGATTTCATAAGATTTATCACAGCCTATTTGAAAGCTGCAGCCTTGCCAGGAAGGCACTGATATAGTCTTGCTATAATAGTCAGTCACATCGTTTTCCACAACCATAATTGTGTTTTGAAAATGGCACAAGTTTCTGAATAAACTTTTATAAGAATTATTTATATGAAAAGCATTTCTAATGCCTTGGTGAAATCAGAATAGCTTTGTTGGAAAAGGAACAGACATACGAGAAGACACATATTCTTTTCATGCGAACTTAGAAATCTAAAAGCTTCACTGATAGACAATGAAATTTAGGAGGGTAAGGAAAGAGTAGTACAGTCTCACATAAAACTCGTATTTTTTGGAATTTTATTGTCCCCATTAACTCATAGCAGTATCTCCTGAAACTCGTATACATTGTAATTTCAAATCTTTAAAGAAAGATTGATGTAACACCAAAGTGCGCACCTGAACATAATAAACTCCAACTTGGAAGATTTAGCAGTTTTTTACCTAATTTCAGTGTTAAACAAAACGTTAAAAATTAATCATCTATTATACAACCATACACCTCAGTAAAGTGCCTTCATCCTCTGGAATTCCAGAAAGTATAGCTTTTGTCCATGCTATCCAGAGTCATGCAAGTACAATACTGGCAAAAAACATGTTGATCGAGATCAAGTTATATATCAACTGACCTGTATAACTCCCCCTCCTACAGCTGCTTCCTGCTCACTTGATGTATTGGCTGGTTGAGTGTCAGAAGGTCTATGGCGATCAGGAGTGTTGTGGTGATGGATATGGGTTGTAGGAACTGAAACAATATAAATATGGATTTAGTTTACAGTCATGGCTTTACTTTATCATGTAAAATGAAACTCTCGAAAGGGCTTTTGAGTGAATGTAATACCGAAAATATAGTATTTTTCAAGAAGATAACAATGTGCCAACTATAAATAGGATATATTCATTTTCTAATTTCTTTGAATACAACGGTAAATAAAACGGAAATTTTTTATCCGTTGTTTATTTTCATTCTCGAACAAATCTGTTATTACTGGAGTAAACTATATTGGCTTCAATATTTCATAGAACAACTAAACAGGTTACTTGGTCTGATTGATTTAATGGGTAAGAAACATCTTTGTTATTTTGGTTTTGCCATTAGTATTAGATAGATAAAATAAGCAATTTGGCAAACTCAAAGAGAACTAAGATTTAGCTCATGAAGTTGGATCTTTGGATAGGTTAGATATAACATTTCATATGAAGTGGGATTCATGGTATGTTCTGGGTTAGGATAGATATAAAACCTTAGGCAAATGGTTAGAGTTAGCATATGAAGTAGGATTCATGGTATCTTCTGGGTTAAGATAGATATAAAACTTTGGGCAAATGGTTAGAGTAAGCATATGAAATAGGATTCGTGGTATGTTCTGGGTTAGGTTAGATATAAACCTTTGGGCAAATGGTTAGAGTGGGCATATGAAATAGGATTCGTAGTATGTTCTGGGTTAGGATAGATATAAAACTTGGGCGAATGGTTTAGAGTAAGGCATATGAAATAGGGATTCGTGGTATGTTCTGGGTTAGGATAGGATATAAAACTTTGGGCAAAATGGGTTAGAGTAAGCATTATGAAATAGGATTGCCATGATAGTCTTGCTGGGTTGAAAGATAGGATATAAAACTTCAGGCAATGGTTATAGTCAGCATATGAAGGTGGGAACTCATGGTATGTTGCTTGGTTGGAAAAAGATATGAAAACTGCAGGGCAAATGGTGTAAGGTAAGCATTATGAAAGTGGGACTCATGGTATGTTCTTGGTTGGAAAAGATAATAAAACTGCAGAGCAATGGTTAGAGAAACATACTGAGTGGGACTTCAATGGTATGTTTCTTCGGTTGGGAAAAGATATAAAAACTGCAGGCAAATGGTTAGGAGTAGCCATATGAAAGTGGGGATTCATGGTATGTTCTGGGTAGTAGGATATGAAAAACCTTATGCCAAATGGTTAGAGTTAGCAATATGAAGTGGGGATTCGTGGTAAAAGTTATTGGCCACTGCCTTGTTCTGCAATAAGTGCAGGAACCGATGATAAAGGTATAATACTCGACTGTATGCTTGAAACCAATGCAAAACTCTCGATAATTTACCAGTAGCGGATGTTCCTGATGTTCATGTGCGCCAGAGGGTGTCATATTTCCAGAGCCACTTGCAGCTATAAAAGGAAAAAAATTTCATTAATAAATAACGAGTAACCTTTGGGTTAGAATAAATATTTCAGCAGTTATCTTACATAACTTGAACTTGTTTAAATGACCTAGAGACTTGACTTGGAGATGACTTTAATGAGTCCTTGATTAAGAGAAAATTCTGATGAAACACGATTTACTATGTTAAATTTTACTTTTCGATATTATAAATAGTGTTGTTTTTTCTAAAGTTTTCAATGGGACTCATATATACACATTTCTTTGTTTTTCATGACTCAGACTCACTAGTGACTGAAATTGACTTCAGATTTAATGATCAGGATTTCGTCATACTAAAGAAATGACTCGGCTTGATTCAAGACTAAGATTTAAACTTTGTGTCCAGAACTTGGTATGTAAGACTACACTATATAAGGATACTATGTATGTAAGATAAATTCACATATAATCAATGTTTTTCAAATATTTCATTTTTGGCTTATTTTACTTTAGGTTTCTCAATGATTCAGTCCTATTACTTTGCAAAAAACTACCTTCTCCTCCAGTTGCTCCTCGTGGATCCACAAGTGGTTCAGATGAACCGGAACCAAATGGAGATGCACCAAGTTGAGGTGATGGAACCCTGGACACTCTTTTCGGTTCTTCACATCGTGCAACTGAACAAAAATTGAGGATGCAACATTATAATAATTGTTTTATTGTTTTTTGAAAAACCATCTATCTAATTTTTTATTATCATTCAGCATTGTCTTTACTATATTTGAACCATATATGTGCGCCTCATGTATGAACAAATCCTCAATCTAAGCACTTTATTTAGTGTGCGCTTTATAACCGGGTGCCCCCTATGGTTCTTGAAATACGATACTCAATCCTACCTTCACCTCCAGGTGACCCTTGTGGCTTTGGAAGTTGATCGGCTGATTGAGGTAGAGATGAACTGAGTGGAACATTAGACACTCTCTCCTCTTCCACAGATTGTGCGAGTGTTGTTGGATGAGGAGAATCTGTTCAGAAATAATGTTTAAACTACATAGCAATATTTTAAGGTTACTCATGTTTCAATATATGTTATACACAATCAAGGGTTATCCTAGGGGAGGGCGCTTCCTTATACAAGTTAGTTTGTGTTTGTTGTTATTTAATAATGAAAACCTGTCCATTTACTTGATATTCAATTTATTTATCTTCGTGTATAACATAACTTGTTTAGCCCCCAAATTATATTTGAAGTGTGGTGTCAGAGGCATCATTATGAGAAGCACGCCTCGGGCAGCAGAAAAGTTTGGTACAACCACAATAGGTTGACTAGAAACCTTTAAAGAACTCAATAAGTGCACGTCCGCAGAGCAATTTTGCCTATTTCTTCACAAGCTGTATACCAACGGCTGACAAATAGTGTGGAGTGATAGAATTGCATTCATACCCCACATTGCCCTGCATTGCCCGCTACAGATACACCTATGTCTAAAGTTATCAGTACCTTGGTTAGATTCATCATCTTTATTCAGGAAACCATCTACTAGTTGCCAGATTTTTTCAGTTGTTGCTGATTCACCTGCATGAAATGAATTTGAGATGAAAAAAAAATGAAAAATTTTGAAAAAACATGTGTCTGGCAAAAATGCTAAATAAATAAAATTTTGCATTGTGAGAATTTTTTGTGGGGCCCAAATATATGTCTGAAGTTGGGTATATGCCCCACCAATGAAAATGTTGAATGAACAGTTATGCGCAACTTTGGTCCAAATAATAGACATTAAGGTGAACTATCAATACTCACCATTCTTGTATTTCCACTGAGTCAACATTTGCAGATTCCTTTCTTCAACAGATCTTGCATTGTCCTTTATGTTTTCGACTTCCAGCATACTGAGCGATAAACCTTTCCTAGACAATGCAAATCTTTTAAACTGCGCAGCGTTGGCAAATACTTTCGGAACTTCCAGAAAAGCATCTTCGATTCTGGAACCTGTTGGAAGGAAAACCAGAATAAATACGAACCCCTATTCTCGCTACATTCGAATGTATTTAAATATAAGCCACATGCCCGCCAACTTTTAGAGATCTAGGATATAAACCCCATGCCAACCACTTCTGGAGATCTGGGATACAAACCCCATGCCCACCACCTCTAGAGATCTCAGATATAAACCTCATGCCCACCACTATTTAAGATGTTGGATACAGAACCAATTTCTAATAACTCCTGGGATCTGACCCAAATGGAAAGTATTTTTACAATCCTAGATTGAATGCTTGTCGAGAACTTTGTATGGCACAAAGGTGTGAAACAGGTCATGAAGTAAACTTACCGGTGACACCACTATTCTCTGCCTTGAGATGTTTCTCAACAACCTCTCTGATATATCTGGATGTTGCATTTGATCCTGAAATACAGAGAAAATATGACCAATTTATGAGTAAATATTTCAATTTTATTGTGAAAATCCATCATCAGGTTTCCTCAAATGAATCATGACTCCGACTTGACTATGGCTCTCAAGTCATGATTGTGAAATCTTGGGCTGCGATATTAAATAACGTTTTACATTCTTTTCAATTCCAGAAAACTGCAATCAATAGCTTGAGTTTCTAACCCCCCACTTTTAGAATCATGGAAGGCGACTCTGAGGCTGTGGTGAGTAGTAACCATGTTTCCGATTTCAATGCCAGCAATACACATAGACCTACAACTTCACAAGTTAATGAGGTTACTCAACGCTATGTAAAACTGGAATGATGTGTTTCTCACATTTCGTTTCAAGCACAACCTTATACAAGCAACTGATCAAAACTTTCCCACAAACCTACCCGTTTAAGGAAAACAAACAAATATTTACCATTTTTTTCTTTCCAAAGTTGAAGCATCTCAAACTTTTGATCTTCAACAGAACTTGCATTATCTTCAATAATTGTTGAGATTTCATTGATACTGAGTGCGAGACCTGTCCCAGCTTGTGCAAACATTTTGAAATGTTTAAAAGTTGGAAATCTCTTCAAGATATCAGTGCAAGCGTCTTCAAATCTCTCATTGTCTCCTGAAATATTGATTAGACTTGCTTTACACAATTGCTATGAATTAAGCCTAGTACAAGTATGAACAGTCGTAAGCAGCGACTACACAATGAACATAAAATTGTTAACATAAATATTATCTTGTTTTATCACCACACCCATGCAAGTTCACTTTTCCAATCTTATGATAAATCAACTTTTCCAACTTCCAAAATACGTAACAAAACCTTTCTACATTAAATCTTACTAGATGGCACTAGAAAGTCATTATTTTATCCAATTGGTTACTAGTCATTTAATTACTGGTCAAAGGGTTAGGGTGACACAACATTAGTACACTGCTAAGCATTTCTAATTTGGAAAATTTACGAATTGCGTGAAAAAAAAATCACAAATCTACTATGTTATAGCAACTTCTTCTCAAACATATATTTTTAACAACATTTCAATATTTTTAAATATTTGAATCATCTAGGCTTTTCCTGACTGAATAATTATCAATATTTTCAATATTCAAGCCCACCTTCACCTGCTGTTGCCCCTTGTGGCTCTGGATGTTGCTCAGCTGATTGAGGATCAAATGGAGATGCACCGAGCTTGGGTGGTGGAACATTGGACACTGTCTCCTCTTCCTCAGATTGTGAGAGTGAAGTTGCATCTGTATGAGGAGACGGTTGATACATAAAACACTCCCAAGACGAGTGGCCACTAATATGTACCGACAACACCTAGGATTCAGCGCATTAGCTAAAATACATGGTATTTTGAATTGTTCAAATCATTGCTGATAGAAAAAATTCTAGGTTCAGGAATTCCAAAATGCAAGAATTTTTACATTACCTCATGATTATATAATCATAATCTTATTATATTGTGCATTATAATAGATTGGATGGAACCACGACAACAGAGATAACTCTGGTTGATTATCAGATACCGTAAGATGCTGAACTTTTATACAGATGGCGAATATTCTCCAACTTAAAAACACAATAACCCTGCTAAAACTTAAGAGCTTTTGGATTCAAACCCCATGCCCACCACCTCTAGAGATCTTGGATACAAACCCCTTTATATTGTTAAATATTTAATTCATTTAGGCATTTCTTGTCTGGAGCATCAACAATATCTTTAATATTCAAACCCACCTTCACCTGCTGTTGCCCCTTGTGGCTCTGGATTTTGCTCAGCTGATTGAGGATCAAATGGAGATGCACCGAGCTTGGGTGGTGGAACATTGGACACTGTCTCCTCTTCCTCAGATTGTGCGAGTGAAGTTGCATCTGTATGGGAAATAGGTTGATAAATATAACACGCTAAAAAAAGCCCTACCCAAGCACCCCATTATATGTATCCTGCAACACCTAGAGTACCGTAACGACATAACACTTGTAATTGTTCTACCACGTTTGCTGTTTTTCACTGCACTTGGTTCAGAGGAATTTTTTGCTAAGATTTGGAAAGTATCTGTTACAAGTAAGGATGGATAATATTGAATCATGGGTGATCATATAAAGCTGGGATGAAGGAACGTATCGTAACAGAAGTATTGCTTCTTAAGCAGTAGAGTACCTGAAACTAATACTTGTTATCAATTCCCATATCTGACACGAACTCATGACCGGACAAGGAGCCATGGTTTGACATATGATTTTCCTCCCTCAAGATCAAATTGAAAATCACCAATAGTTTAAGGAATTATCAGTAACATGCATTGCCAAGATTGTTTTATTCAAAACTCGAACCATCAAGTCATCTCTGAACAAATCAACAACCAGCATTACCTTGATCAACTCCAGACGTTTTACTCTCAGCTCTCTGTTCAACAGAACGTCCACTCTGATCACTGCCTGATGTGCTGGAAATATTCGAGCCTGCAAAATAGAAAAAGCGTTATGAAGTCAATTTCAATTTTAAAACTTTTGACAAACTCATTTCAGAATAATTGAATCATTGAAGTATTTAGTATTTTTGATAGCTTATGATTGATATTTTTGGACAAGAAGTGAACCTATGGATTGTTCTAGTATTATGCTCTTGCTGTTTAATTTTTTTTTCTTGTATTTTTCCCATTATGAAAAAAAAATAGCTTTCTCTCTAAATACAGAACCAATTGGTTTAGAATTTCTAGTAGTTAAAGATTTTTGTTTTCACCAAGAGTAATTACTTTAATTTATTTTGAAATTTTTTGGGGTTCTATGGGACTTGTTATTATATGATAATAACAACAACAAAATTGAAAATTGCGTACTTTGTGGCGGTTTTGCATTTGTTGCGATATGGGGGACAGACAAAGATATCGTACCAGTAGTGTGAAAGACCAGACACCCGCACAACTTCGTTTGGCCTTTGTGTGCCTATATTTGAGCCTTATTTTCTTGTTTTTGAAACAAATTACTTTTTAAAATTCGACTTGAGACTGTCGGATATTGATACATGTGGTTAAATGAGGGTCAGATGTAAAAGGGATTGTATTAAATAGGATACGTAGAACAAACTCAGGTCAGTATGACTTGCAAATAAAATTAATATTCATACTCAGATACCCATGCACATAACACATAATTCTATGCCCCACCCCCTTTATGACTCTTCATTCTTAACAAAGTCCTAGAAAGTAACCTCTGATATGCAGCCTACAATACCTAGAGATTTGAGAAGGATTGATAACGAGTAAGGATGGATAAAATTACATGACCTATCATGTGAAAAACGTTGTTAAAAATGTAGGGCAGAACTAGTGATGCTTTCCAAGCTGTAAAGTACCTGAAACAATTACAAAAATAATAATTCCTATACCGGACTGATCTCATGACCTGAAGAGGAGGAGCCATGCTTCAATGAAATGAATTTAGCGACAAAATGACAGGCTGCGAATTTCTTGAGATGCAATGCAATGAGGAAATAAAGTCCTGTTTTTATTCGAGAGATATGTCATTGCTTGATTTTTATAAAAAGTAATTTCTTGATGAAAATCTCTATCCATGTGAAAAAATTACCATCGATGCCTGGAAGTGCATATGCGTGAAAAAATTTATTTTCGAAAATGAACATTACAAAGACCAAGCAGAGAACTACAATTAGTGACGCTCATATAGAAAATGTTTAAATCTTGGCTTCATCCAACGCGACACCTGATGTACAAAAGATTCAAGTGTAATGCAACAACAGGTGTCAAATTGTCTAACAAAAGAACATATTCCAAATCTCTTTCTTTTAATTTTACCATTTTTTTCATTACCTTTACTTTTCGCCACCTTCTGTCTCTCTTGAGCTGGTGATGGACTGCCACCCTTGCTGCTTTCCACCGCACTTGGTTTGGGAGAAATTTTTTCTGAGATTTGAGAAGGATCTGTAACAATAATATTCATATGTTGCGTTATCGTATTACTGCTCACATGAAATCAAGGGAAATGAACAAAAGAAAAGTGGCAGTATTGCTTTACATATATTAGCACTTGACGAGAGCAATGTAACACATGATATTGCCATTGCCACAGCAACAGAAATATGGCTGCCATACTAGAAAAGCATTATCAGGTCAATCTCAATTTTAAAATAATGCATTTTTTGACAAACTCAAACCGAGTATGATAAAAATACTCGGTATTGGGAAGATCAGGTTTTCTGATATTCGTGCTGGAGAGAGAAATGTGAGCAACAGTGGGTAGGGGTTATGTAAACGTATGTATGTATACATGAATATGGCACATTTAACTGGTTCCCATAGAATTTTTCTTTTTTCCAATATATATGAAATTTCTTTCAAGTTTTAAACTAAGCCAACTTTCACTAAAATCACTTCAGAATAACTATATAGTTGAAGTATTTAGGATACATGTGCTAAGAAGGTGAATGTTGCACAAATGGAAAACTTTGTTGACAAAAAAACAAAACTAACATGAATATTGCTCACATCACCTAACCTATAAAAATAGTAATATATAAATCAACAATAATTGTTAAAACAGGTTTATGTCAAAGTAAGTCGAGGTGAAGCTTCATACCCAATGGACGCTCGATCCAAGGAAAAGCGGATAACGACTCCGAGCACCATTTTGTGTGTAACCATGGGAATGGAAGCGAAAGTCTGTACAGTAGCTGAATACAGATATTGCCTGACTTGTGGTTAACAGAATTGAATTTTCAAATTTATCCCGCGAGGGAAAGCCGATAAGTCGGCATATTCATAATTTATAAAAAAGTTTTGTTTGTCGCAGTTGAAATAAGAGAGTATGGATACAAGTGAAAGTATAGTGGTAAGATGCGTTGGTGCCGGAGACGTCTTGAAGTGGTAAAAGACATGAACTAGTGTTAAATGGTAAAAAAAAAAAATGGTTCTTAAACTTTTTGAGCCGCGCCCCCCTTTGAAAAATTTTACAAACTTCGCGCCCCCCCCCTCTTTTTGCTTTGAAAAAATGCTTTTGTGATGGGCAAGTTGTTATATATTAGGATGGCGCTATAAGAATGTTGGTCTCATAGCGTCATTGCTCAGATTGTTTAGGCAAAAAAAGCTTCGTAGTACAACTTCGCCTCTTAACTGTCGTATGTATAAAGCCAAATAGTGGTTGGTCGTCGTCATACATTTTCGTTTTTCCCCTCAGTTTGCAATACCTGGTAAAGTCAAACTTATTATTAAGTAAAACTAAACAAGCAATAAACCCATGCTTTAATGTATTTTTTGCTTAAACGTGTACATAAGACACGTAGGATTTCAATCAATTGTTGTCGATAAGGCGTTTGCGATTGCATTTTGTTTAAATCTCCACTGTTTACGTCAGCGTGGCGTGTTATTTAAGCTCAAAAAATCTTGATTTCGGTGTTTATTCTTCCTAAATCCGAAATTTCCCTCGTCATATTCTTGTGCCGCGAAGACGATTATAATTACTTTTTTAGTTCTCGAATGGAACCATGACACCTCTGAGGAAAATGAGTTTATGAAATGAATTTTTATTATATAATCATCAGCGACGAGATGCTAAATATAGAATAAAAAAGTGAATCCGTAACTAAAAATTTCTTTATTATAAAAGTGGCATAACAAAAATACTGAAAATAAAACGAAAAACGCCATGAGTTTTGTTTCGGGGTGGACCGCGACAGATTATAAACACTTTCTTAGACATTGAAAATCTCATAAATTCCTTGTGCGGCACACCAGTAGTGTTCAAAACAACAGACTGATATATAATTTTACTCCGTGGGATCGCAGACTTAGGAATATCTATAACGGTGATATCTTGAAATTAATCGAGTGGCGGCATTGCGATCGAGCGGAGTAAGAGTTGCAGGGACAGCTCATATTGGGGTAAAAAAAAATTTTAATTTGTGAATGAAAACATTCGACATAATGAATGAAGGTGGCAATTTTTTGCATGCAATCCAATGAGGAGATAAAGTCCTGTTTTTATTCGAGAGGTATGTCATTGCTTGATTTTTATAAAAAGTAATTTCTTGATGAAAATCTCTATCCATGTGAAAAAATTACCATCGATGCCTGGAAGTGCATATGCTTGCAAAAAATTATTTTCAAAAATGAATGAATGTGGTTTCCACTTATAGCCTTCATTTAGGAGTATGTAGTCCTGCATATCTTCAAGCCTTTTTGTAATTACAGTCTAGTTTATTTTCAGCCAGTAAAAAAGTAGTCGTACTCATGTAGTATGTAAACGAAGACTGCAGACACCGGAACGTAGTATGTGTAACAGGTTAGGGTTAGGCCACAAATTCAGATACAAATACTACAGGTGTCACTTGGCTAGTCCCTGAACTCGTAATAGAACTAGAATAAGGAAAATTGAAAAGAAATCATGGCCCAACCCTAACCAGATACACATGCTACATTCCGGTGTTCACTATCTTGGTTCAAATCCTAAGGGAGTGCCAAAGTAGTTACAAAATTAGGAGAAATAAAACTAAAGACAGCTTTACTGGGAAAGCAAAAATGTGAGGCAGATAATTTTTTTTATACCAGCATAACTAGATGATGGTAGAGCAGACATTGCCAAACCCGGAATATTCCGTTCCATTGCAAAATAGAGGCAACTTGTTATTAGGGGGATGAAACCCACACTTGGAAATTTTGCTAATATATTTCGTTACCTCTACTTTTTGCCATCTCGCTTCTTTGTCTTGCAGGTGATGGGATACCACCCTTGCTGCTTTCCACTGCGCTTAATTCAGAAGATATTTTGCCTGAGATTTGAGAAGGATCTGTAACAAGCAAGCTCAGTTAATATTTATGTGACTGATCACAAAATACTTGCATAAAGAAACATGCGGTAAAATAAGCATTGCTTTTCACGTAGTAGACTAACTGAAACAAAAACTAATCAACAATTCCCATACCGGACATATACTCATGACTAACATGAACTACTTGTTTGTACTTGTTTGGAGTGAATGTATGAGAACAACTCATAAAGAATCATCACATCTATTGTTCTTACGAGGCTTCATCGGCAATTGAAAACTACTTGAGGTTTGGTCTGCTCATGAGATGTTGCTGTTTCATTTTTAAGAGACAAACTGACATAATGCCAGATTATCCTAATTACTCCATGGTGAGAATAGCCTAAGAGGTGGATGTGGGGATAGGGTCATGATTGTGACCAATTCTGTGCCTAATATTTAGGGGGAAACCCCAACTTTAAATTGTGCTCCTATCTTTCGTTACCTTTACTTTTCGCTACCACCGATCTCTGTCTTCCAAATGATGGGCTACCACCTTTGCCGCTTTTCACTGAGCTTGGTTTAGAAGAATTTTTTGCTGAGATTTGGGAAGGATCTGTGACAAGTAAAGATGAGTAATATTAATGTGAAGAAAACTGGGGTTAAGAAACAATGGGTAGACAAAGTATCGCTTCTAGCAGTCGAGTATCTGAAACAAATACTAGATAACAATTTCTAAACGTCAGGTGAACTCATACCTGGATAAGGATCCATGGTTTGACATAAACTTGAATCACCTTTTTAATTTTTTTCATCCCCGAGATAAATTCAACAATGTTTTAATGCTATAATCTTTCCAACCCTACTGCAGTTCTCTCTAGGCTTGTGTCACTATTAAATGAATCCAATTTTTCTAATAATTTTGTTCGTTCGCCAGAAGTCACTGTTTTATTTTTAAGAGACAAGATGAATACCATATAAGTTTTCATACGACAGGATCAGAATCCCACATCCATACCAGTGAGAATAAAGCCTGAAAGAAGAACATAGTCCAAGTTCCTTTATTTTTATATTACCATTTCTCTCATTACCTCTACTTTTTGCCACCTCATGTCTCTTTCTAGCTGGTGCTGGACTGCCACCCTTGCTGCTTTCTACTGCACTTGGTTCAGAAGAACTTTTTCCTGATATTTGAGAAGGATCTGTGAAAAGAATATTTACAAGTTGTGTTCTTTACTGCTCACATAAAATCAAGGGAAATGAACAAAGAAAAAGCAGCATTATTGCTTTACATACCTTAGCAATTGAAGCGAGCAATATAACACATGAGAATCCATTGCATGGTGGTTTCCACTAATAGCATTCATTTAGAAGTATTACATATTTAAGCCCTATTTCGAATTACTTAACGTAAGTTTATTTTTTACAGACTTTGAGAAACTGTTTTTCTTTACTATACCCGAAACTAGATGATGCGCCATGGTTGAAATTTTGTATGGCGCCATAAACTAATAGAGAATTTGGAATAAATAGAAAAATCCAACAAATCCACAACCAGCATTACCTTGATCAACTCCGGATTCTTTACTCTCAGCTCTCTGTTCAACAGAACGTCCACTCTGATCACTGCCTGATGTGCTGGGAATATCCGAGCCTGCAACAACAGAAACATGGCTGCCATACTATAAAAGCTATATGAAGTAAAACTCAATTTACAAATAACGCATTTTTGACAAACTCAAATAGAATATTTTTAAAATACTTGGTAATCCCTCCAACCCTACTGCAATTCTATATAGGCTTGCCTCACTGATAATTAAGTCTATTTAATGAAGAGTTTTGTCTGTTTGTAGATGTCGGTGTTTTATTTTTAAGAGACGAACCAAATGATATATATATTTTCACATGACAGAATTTTACATCCATAGTCCAAATAAAATCAATTTTAAATTTATAATTTCTATCATTACCTTTACTTTTTGCCACCTTCTGTCTCTTTCTAGCTGGTGCTGGACTGCCACCCTTGTTGCTTTCTACTGCGCTTGGTTTGGAATAACTTTTTCCCGATATTTGAGAAGAATCTGTGACAAGAATATTTACAAGTTGCGTTATCGCTTTACTGTTCACATGAAATTATTGGAAATGAACAAAATAAAAGTAGTAGTATTGCTTTATATACATTAGCAATTGACAAGTGCAATATAACACATCAGATTGCCATTGCATGGTGGAGGTGGAGATTGAGCCATGATTGTGACCAATATTGTGCTTAATATTTGTAAAATGCTTAACGTTAGATTTTGCTCATTTATTTTGTTACCTTCACTTTTTGCCCCTTCCGATTTCTGCCTTCCAGGTGATAGGCTATCACCTTTTCCGATTTCCACTGCACTTGGTTTGGAAAAACTTTTCGCCGAGATTTGAGAAGGATCTGTAACAAGTAAAGATGGAAAATGTTTGTGTAACTTATCATGTGAAAGACGTTGATAAATAAACCTAGAGTAGAGCTAGAGTTGCTTTTAAAGCAGTAGAGTACATGAAACAATTACAAAAATTCCTATACCTGACATGATCTCAAGACCTGACCAAAGGCGGAGCAATGCAATGGGGTAAAGAAAGATAGGATAAAAGAAGTATTGCTTTTCAAGCAGTAGAGCATCTGAAATACATACTTGTTAACAATACCTGACATGAACTCATGACCAAAGGAGGAACATACATATATTAATTCATGAATAAAAGCAGCGCATATCAGCGCAAACTCGCATATCAGTGGATACCTGCCTGCTCACCTGTTCAAATCATTGCTGTTAGAAAAAAATTCGAGGTTTAGGAATTCCAAAATGCAAGAATTTTTACATTACCTCATCATTATATAGTCATAATCTTATTATATTATGCATTATAATAGATTGAATGACACCACCACAACAGAGATAACTCTGGTTGATTATCAGATGATGGACTATTATATAAATGGTGAATCAAAGCTTGAAATTCGAAGAGTTTGATGGGCGGTAAAGGCAGTAAAAATCTTTCAACAGCCAAAATAATTATACGTTACTGATATTCTCCATCTTAAGAGATCTTGGATACAAACCCCTTTATATTGTTAAATATTTGATTCATTTAGGCATTTCTTGTCTGACGCATCATCAATATCTTTAATATTCAAACCCACCCTCACCTGCTGTTGCCCCTTGTGGCTCTGGATGTTGCTCAGCTAATTGAGGATCAAATGGAGATGCACCGAGCTTGGGTGGTGGAACATTGGACACTCTCTCCTCTTCCTCAGATTGTGCGAGTGAAGTTGCATCTGTATGGGAAAAAGGTTGATAAATATAACACGCTAAAAAAAGCCCTACCCAAGCACCCCATTATATGTATCCTGCAACACCTAGAGTACCGTAACGACATAACACTTGTAATTGTTCTACCACGTTTGCTGTTTTTCACTGCACTTGGTTCAGAGGAATTTTTTGCCAAGATTTGGAAAGTATCTGTTACAAGTAAGGATGGATAATATTGAATCATGGGTGATCATATAAAGCTGGGATGAAGGAACGTATCGTAACAGAAGTATTGCTTTTTAAGCAGTAGAGTACCTGAAACTAATACTTGTTCCCATATCTGACACGAACTCATGACCGGACAAGGAGCCATGGTTTGACATATGATTTCCTCCCTCAAGATCAAGTTGAAAATCACCAATAGTTTAAGGAATTATCAGTAACATGCATTGCCAAGATTGTTTTATTCAAAACTCGAACCATCAAGTCATCTCTAAACAAATCAACAACCAGCATTACCTTGATCAACTCCAGACTTTTTACTCTCAGCTCTCTGTTCAGTCGATCGCCCACTCTGATCACTGCCTGATGTGCTGGAAATATTCGAGCCTGCAAATTAGAAAAAGCGTTATGAAGTCAATTTCAATTTTAAAACTTTTGACAAACTCATTTCAGAATAATTGAATCATTGAAGTATTTAGTATATTTGATAGCTTATGATTGATATTTTTGGACAAGAAGTGAACCTATGGATTGTTCTAGTATTATGCTGTTGCTGTTTAATTTTTTTTTCTTGTATTTTTCTCATTATGAAAAAAAAATAGCTTTCTCTCTAAATACAGAACCAATTGGTTTAGAATTTCTAGTAGTTGATGATTTTTGTTTTCACCAAGAGTAATTACTTTAATTTATTTTGAAATATTTTGGGGTTCTATGGGACTTGTTATTATATGAATAATAACAACAACAAAATTGAAAATTGCGTACCTTGTGGCGGTTTTGCATTTGTTGCCACATTGGGGGGGACAGACAAAGATATCGTACCAGTAGTGTGAAAGATCAGACACCCGCACAACTTCGTTTGGCCTTTGTGTGCCTATATGCCTTTATTTGAGCTATATTTTCTTGTTTTTGAAACAAATTACTTTTTAAAATTCGACTTGAGACTGTCGGATATTGATACATGTGGTTAAATGAGGGTCAGATGTAAAAGGGATTGTATTAAATAGGATACGTAGAACAAACTCAGGTCAGTCTGGCTTGCAAATAAAATTATTATCCATACTCAGATACCCATGCACATAACACATAATTCTATGCCCCACCCCCTTTATGACTCTTCATTCTTAACAAAGTCCTAGAAAGTAACCTCTGATATGCAGCCTACAACACCTAAAAATTTGAGAAAGATTTATAACGAGTAAGGATGGATAAAATTACATGACCTATCAGTTATCATGTAAAAAAATGTAGGGCAGAAATAGTGATGCTTTTCGAGCAGTAAAGTAACTGAAACAATTACAAAAATAATAATTCCTATACAGCACTGATCTCATGACCTGAAGAGGAGGAGCCATGCTTCAATGAAATGAATTTAGCGACAAAATGACAGGCTGCGAATTTCTTGAGATGCAGTGCAATGAGGAAATAAAGTCCTGTTTTTATTCGAGAGATGTGTCATTGCTTGATTTTTATAAAAAGTAATTTCTTGATGAAAATCTCTATACATGTGAAAAAATTACCATCGATGCCTGGAAGTGCATATGCGTGAAAAAATTTATTTTCGAAAAAGACCATTACAAAGACCAAGCAGAGAACTACGATTAATGATGCTCATATAGAAAATGTTTAAATCTTGGGTTCGTCCAGCGCGACACCTGATGTACAAAAGATTCAAGTGTAATGCGACAACAGGTGTCAAATTGTCTAACAGAAGAACAAGTTCCAAAACTTTATTTTAATTTTACCGTTTTTTTTCATTAACTTTACTTTTCGCCACCTTCTGTCTCTCTTGAGCTGGTGATGGACTGCCACCCTTGCTGCTTTCCACCGCACTTGGTTTGGGAGAAATTTTTTCAGAGATTTGAGAAGGATCTGTAACAGTAATATTCATATGTTGCGTTATCATATTACTGCTGACATGAAATCAAGGGAAATGAACAAAGGAAAAGTAGCAGTATTGCTTTACATATATTAGCACTTGACGAGAGCAATGTAACACATGATATTGCCATTGCACGGTGGTTCACAAAAACACGGGACACTGGATAATATTACGTGACTAATCAAGTAAAACTGAGGTGAATGAATGAACGTAGGCTAGAAGAAATATTGCTCTCCAAGCAGAATAGCATCTGAAACAAATACTAGTTAACATTTACCATACCCGACATGGACTCATTACCGGACGAGAAGCCAAGGTCGACATTATGACTGTACTGCCTTATTAGTTACCTTTTTTCTCCCCTGAGAAAAATTTGAAAATCACCAATCGTGTGATGAATTATCTGTAAGACACGCAATGCCAAAACTAGATGTTGAGTGATGGTTGAAAATTTTTAGGGCATGGTAAACTAATAGAGCATTTGTAATGAAGAAAGGTGTAGAAAAAACTATTTAGTAAGAAATACACTCAGATCAGGCAGGATTGGGATAGATTAGAAAGTTTGGGCTGAATTTTTCAACATTTTTTCGAATCTCTTCTTCGAACAAGGAGTTAGACAAATAGTTTTATGAGATAACACCATGCTCTTGGAGGACTAGAATTTTCCCCATTAAGATTATTACGTCATAGATGAAAGGATCATTTGAACCGGATATCCTTAACATGCATTGCTAACATAGTTTGATATAAAACTCAAATCATCAAGTCATTTCTCCAAATCCACAACCATTATTACCTTGATCAACTCCGGATTCTTTACTCTCAACCCCCTGTTCAACCGAACGTCCACTCTGATCACTGCCTGATGTGCTGGGAATAGCCGAGCCTGCAACACCAGAAATATGGCTGCCATACTATGAAAGCATTAGGAGACTATTGCTCTTATTTATTTCAAAACTTCCTGTGAGCTCTAATAAATTTGGAACCATTTGGAAAATAAATATTCAAGTTATAGCTCAACATAAGGCCGTTTTGTGCAAAGTTAGGCAATGTAACGGCATTTAATAAATTAACTAATGAATTATCGAATCTATTACACAGCAACAGAAATATGGCTGCCATACTATAAAGCATTATCAGGTCAATCTCAATTTTAAAATAATACATTTTTTGACAAACTCAAACCGAGTATGATAAAAATACTCGGTATTGGGAGATCAGGTTTTCTGATATTCGTACTGGAGAGAGAAATGTGAGCAACAGTGGGTAGGGGTTATGTAAACATATGTATGTATACATGAATATGGCACATTTAACTGGTTCCCATAGAATTTTTCTTTCTTCCAATATATATGAAATTTCTTTCAAGTTTTAAAGTATGCCAACTTTCACCAAAATCATTTTCAAATAACTATATTGTTGAAGTATTTAGGATACATGTGCTAAGGAGGTGAATGTTGCACAAATGGAAAACTTTGTTGACAAAAAAAAACAAAACTAAACTGAATATTGCTCACATGTCACATCACCTAACCTATAAAAATAGTAATATAAAAATCAAACAATAATTGTTAAAACAAGTTTATGTCAAAGTTAGTCAAGGTGGAGCTTCATACCCAATGGACGCCCGATCAAAGGATAACGGATAACGACTCCGAGCACCATTTTGTGTGTAACCATGGAAATGGAAGCGAAAGTCTGTACAGTAGCTGAATACAGTTATTGCCTGACTTGTGGTTAACAGAATAGAATTCTCATATTTATCCCGCGAGGGAAAGCCGATGGGTCGTTAAATCATATTTTATAAAAAAGTTTTGTTGTCGCAGTTAGGAATAAGAGAGTATGGATACAAGTGGAAGTATAGTGGTAAGATGCGTTGGTGCGGAGACGTCTTGAAGTGGTAAAAGACATGACCTGGTGTTAATTGGTAAAAAAATTAATTTGTGAATGAAAATATTCGACATAAATAAATGAAGGTGGCAATTTTTCGCATGAAATCCAATGAGGAGATAAAATCCATTTTTTATTCGAGAGATGTGTCATTGCTTGATTTTTATAAAAAGTAATTTCTTGATAAAAATCTCTATCCATGTGAAAAAATTACCATCGATGCCTGGAAGTGCATATGCTTGCAAAAAATTATTTTCAAAAATGAATGAATGTGGTTCCCACTTATAGCCTTCATTTAGGAGTATGTAGTCCTGCACAACTTTAAGCCTTTTTCGTAGTTACAGTCTAGTTTATTTTTCAGCCAGTAAAAAAGTAGTCGTACTCATGTAGTATGTAAACCAAGACTGCCGACACCGGAACGTAGTATGTGTAACAGGTTAGGGTTAGGCCACAAATTCAGATACAAATACTACAGGTGTCACATGGCTAGTCCCTGAACTCGTAATAGAACTAAAATAGGGAAAATTGGAAAAAATTATGGCCCAACCCTAACCAGATACACATGCTACATTCCGGTGTTCACTACTTTGGTTCATATACTACGGAAGTGCCAAAGTAGCTACAAAATTAGGAGAAATAAAACTAAAGACAGCTTCACTGGGAAAGCAAAAATGTGAGACAGATAATTTTTTTTTACCAGCATAACTAGATGATGGTAGAGCAGACATTGCCAAACCCGGAACATTTTGGTCCATTGCAAAATAAAGGCTACTTGTTATTAGGGGGATGAAACCCACACTTGTAAATTTTGCTAATATATTTCGTTACCTCTACTTTTTGCCATCTCGCTTCTCTGTCTTCAGGTGATGGGATACCACCCTTGCTGCTTCCACTGCGCTTAATTCAAGAAGATATTTTGCCTGAGATTTGAGAAGGGATCTGTAACAAGCAAGCTCAGTTATTATTTAATGTGACTGATCACAAAAATACTTGCATAAAGAAACATGCGGTAAAATAAGCATTGCTTTTCACGTAGTAGACTAACTGAACAAAAACTAATCAACAATTCCCATACCGGACATGTACTAATGACAAACATGAACTAACTTGTTCGTCCTTTGTTGGAGTGAATGTATGAGAACAACTCATAAAGAATCATCTCATCTATTGTTCTTTACGAGGATTCATCGGCAATTGAAAACTACTTGAGGTTTAGTCTGCTCATGAGATGTTGGTGTTTCATTTTTAAGAAGACAAACTGACAGAATTCCAGATTATCCTAATTACTCCATGGTGAGGAAAGCCTAAGAGATGGAGGTGGGGATAGGGTCATGATTGTGACCAATTCTGTGCCTAATATTTAGGGGGAAACCCCAACTTTAAATTGTGCTCATATCTTTCGTTACCTTTACTTTTCGCTACCACCGGTCTCTGCCTTCCAGATGATGGGCTACCACCTTTGCCTCTTTTCACCGAGCTTGGTTTGGAAGAACTTTTTGCTGAGATTTGGGAAGGATCTGTAACAAGTAAAGATGGGTAATATTAATGTGAAGAAAAACTGGGGTTAAGAAACAAAGGGTAGACAAAGTATCGCTTTCTAGCAGTCGAGTATCTGAAACAAATACTAGTTAATAACTCCTATACGTCAGGTGAACTCATAACTGGATAAGGATCCATGGTTTGACATAAACTTGAACCATCTTTTTATTTTTTTTTTCACCCCCGAGATAAATTTAACAGTATTTTAATGCTATAATCTTTCCAACCCTACTGCAGTTCTCTCTAGGCTTGTGTCACTATCAGATGAATCCATTTTTCTAAATAATTTTTTTCGCTCGCCAGAAGTCGCTGTTTTATTTTTAAGAGACAAGATGAATAACATATAGGTTTTCATACGACAGGATCAGAATCCCACATCCATACCAGTGAGAATAAAGCCTGAAAGAAGAACATAGTCCAGGTCCCTTTATTTTTATATTACTATTTCTCTTATTACCTTTACTTTTTGCCACCTCCTGTCTCTTTCTAGCTGGTGCTGGACTGCCACCCTTGCTGCTTTCTACTGCATTTGGTTCAGAAGTACTTTTTCCTGAGATTTGAGAAGGATCTGTGAAAAGAATATTTACATGTTGCATTATCATGTTACTGCTGACATGACATCAAGGGAAATGAACAAAGTAAAAGTAGCAGTATTGCTTCACATATATTAGCACTTGGGAAAGCAATGTAACACATGATATTGTCATTGTACGGTGGTTCACAAAAACACGGGACACTGGATAATATTATGTGACTAATCAAGTAAAACTGAGGTGAATGAGTGAACGTAGGCTAGAAGAAATATTGCTTTCCAAGCAGAATAGCATCTGAAACAAATACTAGTTAACATTTCCCATACCCGACATGGACTCATTACCGGACGAGAAGCCAAGGTCGACATCATGACTGTACTGCCGTAGGTACCTTTTTTCTCAACTGAGAAAAATTTGAAAATTACCAATCGTGTGATGAATAATCTGTAAGACGCGCGATGCCAAAACTAGATGTTGCGTGATGGTTGAAAATTTTTAGGGCATGGTAAACTAATAGAGCATTTGTAATGGAGATTGTGTAGAAAAAAATATTTAGTAAGAAATACACTTAGATCAGGCAGGATTGGGGGAGATTAGACAGTTTGGGCTGAATTTTTCGACATTTTTTCGAATCTCTTCTCCGAACAAGGACAAATAGTTTTATGAAATATTACCATGCTCTTGGAGGACTAGAATTTCCCCCATCAAAATTATTACGTCATAGATGAAAGGATCATTTGAACCGGATATCCTTAACATGCATTTCTAACATAGTTTGATACAAAACTCAAATCATCAAGTCATTACTCCAAATCCACAACCAGCATTACCTTGATCAACTCCAGTCTCTTTACTCTCAGCTCCCTGTTCAACCGAATGTCCACTCTGACCACTGCCTGATGTGCCGGGAATATCCAAGCCTGCAGCAACAGAAATATCACAATTTTAATCAAGCTTTTTCTTTTTCGTTTGGTTTCTCATATTACTCCATCTGCAGTTGATTGACGCATCAAACAAAATGAAGTTACATTACAATGACAAAGTCGTCGGTAACTCGGCAACAGGCTCTTTCTGCTCAAAATACTGGAAAAGATCTCAGCGGCATATGCTTATCAAGAGAAAAACTCCAATAATCCTATTATATTGTGCCAGGTTGGATGGCACCAAGAGTTCAAGTTCAAGTTATAATTAGGGCTGGGCATTTTCGATTACCTTGTGATTTCAGAATCGAATCGAATAATTTTTTCGAATCGAATCTCGAATACTTGAAAATATATATTTGTAAGCGACTTTATTATAGTAATTGGTCCTCTCAACAAATGAATTACTGAAGACATAAAATAAATCACTCAGATAGATTACTGAGCGTTCACACAGAATAACAAACACGTTTTATGAATAACTCACTACAGAAAATAGTCATATGTTAGAATTTCGTTGAAAAAATATGACTCCAATGAATAAAAAATTGGGGAATTCACCTCGACCATTGGCGGAAAGATAAAAAAGATGGCGGCGATTAGAAATTTAGCTCTGAACCGATTCGAATAATTTACTATTCGATTCGAAATGCCCAGCCCTAGTTATAATCAAGTTCATTTTTCCAGCCAGTAATAAAGTAACAAAATTAGAAGAAATAAAATTCAAACACAATTTTAAGTGAAGACGCCGAAATCAACTTTTTCTTGTACCTGCAGCGGAACTAGATGTTGCGTCATGGTTGAAAATTCGTAGGGCGTGGCAAACTAATAGAGAATTTGGAATAAATAGAGCAATGCTTAGAGAAAATATATAAGGAGCACAAACTATTTGCTGTAATATGAAATACACTTAGATAAGAGTGGATTGTTGGAGTTAAGACAGTTTGATAGCAAGATTAATCTTTTAGGAGATTTCAAACCTCCTCTCTGAACAAGGGGTTAGACAAACTTATATCCTTAACATGCATTGCTAACATTGTTTGATACAAAACTCAAGTCGTTTGATACAAGTAATTTTTGAAGAAATCCACAACCAGCATTACCTTGATCAACTCCAGTCTCTTTACTCTCAGCTCCCTGTTCAACCGAACGTCCACTGTGATCACTGTCTGATGTGCCGGGAATATCCGAGCCTGCAGCAACAGAAATATCACAATTTTAATCAAGCTTTTTCTTTTTTGTCATACTATAAGAGCATTATCAGGTCAATCTCAATTTTAAAATAATGCATTTTTTGACAAACTCAAACCGAGTATGATAAAAATACTCGGTATTGGGAGATCAGGTTTTCTGATATTCGTACTGGAGAGAGAAATGTGAGCAACAGTGGGTAGGGGTTATGTAAACATATGTATGTATACATGAATATGGCACATTTAACTGGTTCCCATAGAATTTTTCTTTCTTCGAAATATATGTGAAATTTCTTTCAAGTTTTAAACTATGCCAACTTTCACCAAAATCATTTCAGAATAACTATATAGTTGAAGTATTTAGGATACATGTGCTAAGAAGGTGAATGTTGCACAAATGGAAAACTTTGTTGACAAAAAAACAAAACTAAACTGAATAATGCTCACATCACCTAACCTATAAAAATAGTAATATATAAATGAAACAATAATTGTTAAAACAGGTTTACGTCAAAGTAAGTCGAGGTGAAGCTTTATACCCAATGGACACTCGATCCAAGGAAAAACGGATAACGACTCCGAGCACGATTTTGTGTGTAACCATGGGAATGGAAGCGAAAGTCTGTACAGTAGCTGAATACAGATATTGCCTGACTTGTGGTTAACAGAATAGAATTTTCATATTTATCCTGCGTGGGAAAGCCGATAAGTCGGCATAATCATATTTTATAAAAAAGTTTTGTTTGTCGCAGTTAGGAATAAGAGAGTATGGATACAAGTGGAAGTATAATGGTAAGATGCGTTGGTGCCGGAGACGTCTTGAAGTGGTAAAAGACATGACCTAGTGTTACTTGGTAAAAAAAAAATTTTAATTTGTGAATGAAAACATTCGACATAATAAATGAAGGTGGCAAAGTTCTAGAAAATAGGTAACCTCTGATATGCAGCCTACAACACCTAGAGATTTGAGAAGGATCTATAACGAGTAAGGATGGATAAAATTACATGACCTATCATGTGAAAGACGTTGTTAAAGAATGTAGGACAGAACTAGTGATGCTTTCCAAGCAGTAAAGTACCTGAAATATATACTTGTAAACAATTCCTATACCGGACATGATCCCATGACCTGAAGAGGAGGAGCCATGCTTCAATGAAATTTAGCGACAAAATGACAGGTGCAAATTATTGCATGCAATGCAATGAGGAGATAAAGTCCTGTTTCTATTCAAGAGATGTGTCATTGCTTGATTTTTATAAAAAGTAATTTCTTAATGAAAATCTCTATTCATGTGAAAAAATTACCATATGCGTGCAAAAAATTATTTTCGAAAATGAACATTACAAAGACCAAGCAGAGAACTACAATTAGTGATGCTCATATAGAAAATGTTCAAATCTCGTCCAGCGCGACACCTGATGTACAAAAGATTCAAGTGTAATGCAACAACAGGTGTCGAATTGTCTAACAGAAGAACATATTCCAAATCTCTATCTTTTAATTCTACCATTTTTTTCATTACCTTTATGTTTCGCCACCTTCTGTCTCTCTTGAGCTGGTGATGGACTGCCAGCCTTGCTGCTTTCCACCGCACTTGGTTTGGAAGAACTTTTTTCAGAGATTTGAGAAGGATCTGTAACAAGTAAAGATGGGTAATGTTAATGTGACTGAACAAGTGAAACTGGGGTTAAAAAAACAAAGGGTAGAAAAAGTATCGCTTTCTAGCAGTCGAGTATCTGAAACAAATACTAGTTAATAACTCCTATATGTCAGGTGAACTCATGACTGGATAAGGATCCATGGTTTGACATAAACTTGAATCACCTTTTCAATTTTTTTCACCCCCGAGATAAATTTAACAATGTTTTAATGCTATAATCTTTCCAACCCTACTGCAGTTCTCTCTAGGCTTGTGTCACTATCAAATGAATCCAATTTTTCTAATAATTTTCTTCGCTTGCCAGAAGTCGCTGTTTTATTTTTAAGAGACAAGATGAATAACATATAAGTTTTCATACGACAGGATCAGAATCCCACATCCATACCAGTGAGAATAAAGCCTGAAAGAAGAACAGGGGCTCCCGAAGTATGCGAACCAAGAAGCGGACATCGGAATGTAATAGGTGTACTAGGTTAGGGTTAGGCCATAATTTTAGGTATAGATACTACGGGAGGCTCTTGGCTAGTCTTCGAACTGATAATAGGACTAAAATAAGGAAAATTGGAAAAAAATTATCGCCTAACCCTAACCTGTTACCCATGTTACGTTCCGATGTCCGCCATCTTGGTTCGCATACTTCGGGAGCACCGAAGAACATAGTCCAAGTCCCTTCATTTTTATATTACCATTTCTCTTATTACCTTTACTTTTTGCCACCTTCCGTCTCTTTCTAGCTGGTGCTGGACTGCCACCCTTGCTGCTTTCTACTGCACTTGGTTCAGAAGAACTTTTTCCTGAGATTTGAGAAGGATCTGTAACAAGAATATTTACATGTTGGATTATCACGTTACTGCTGACATGAAATCAAGGGAAATGAACAAAGGAAAAGTAGCAGTATTGCTTTACATACATTAGCACTTGACGAGAGCAATGTAACACATGATATTGCCAATGCACGGTGGTTCACAAAAACACGGGACACTGGATAATATTATATGACTAATCAAGTAAAACTGAGGTGAATGAGTGAACGTAGGCTAGAAGAAATATTGCTTTCCAAGCAGAATAGCATCTGAAACAAATACTATTTAACATTTCCCATACCCGACATGGACTCGTTACCGGACGAGAAGCCAAGGTCGACATTATGACTGTACCACTTTATGACAAAAATTTGAAAATCACCAATCGTGTTGCGTGATGGTTGAAAATTTTTAGGGCATGGTAAACTAATACAGCATTTGTAATGGAGAAATGTGTAGAAAAAAACTATTTAGTAAGAAATACACTTAGATCAGGCGGGATTGGGGGAGATTAGACAGTTCGGTAGCAGGCTGAATTTTTCAACATTTTTTTCGAATCTCTTCTTCGAACAAGGAGTTAGACAAATAGTTTTATGAGATATTACCATGCTATTGGAGGACTAGAATTTTCCCCATCAAAATTATTACGTCATAGATGAAAGGATCATTTGAACCGGATATCCTTAACATGCATTGCTAACATAGTTTGATACAAAACTCAAATCATCAAGTCATTTCTCCAAATCCACAACCAGCAATACCTTGATCAACTCCAGTCTTTTTACTCTCAGCTCCCTGTTCAACCGAACGTCCACTGTGATCACTGCCTGATGTGCCGGGAATAGCCGAGCCTGCAACGACAGAAATATGGCTGCCATACTATGAAAGCATTAGGAGACTATTGCTCTTATTTATTTCAAAAAATGAAGTTACATTACAATGACAAAGTCGTCGGTAACTCAGCAACAGGCTCTTTCTGCTCAAAATACTGGAAAAGATCTCAGCGGCATATGATTTTCAAGAGAGGAAACTCCAATATTCCTATTATATTGTGCCAGGTTAGATGGCACCAAGAGTTCAAGTTCAAGTTATAATCAAGTTCATTTTTCCAGCCAGTAATGAAGTTATAAAATTAGGAGAAATAAAATTTAAACACAATTTTAAGTGAAGACGTCGAAAGCTATTTTTTCTTGTACCCGCTGCGGAACTAGATGTTGCGTCATGGTTGAAAATTTGTAGGGCGTGGTAAACTAATAGATAATTTGGAATAAGCTTAGAGAAAATATATAAGTGGCACAAACTATTTGCTGTAATATGAAACACACTTAGATAAGGGTGGATTGTTGGAGTTAAGACAGTTTGATAGCAAGATTAATCTTTTAGGAGATTTTCAAACCTCCTCTCTGAACAAGGGGTTAGACAAACTTATATCCTTAACATGCATTGCTAACATTGTTTGATACAAAACTCAAGTCGTTTGTTACAAGTAATTTTTGAACAAATCCACAACCAGCATTACCTTGACCAACTCCGGATTGTTTACTCTCAGCTCTCTGTTCAACCGAACGTCCACTGTGATCACTGTCTGATGTGCCGGAAATATCCGAGCCTGCAACAACAGAAATATGGTTGTCATACTATGAAAGCATTAGGAGACTATTGCTCTTATTTATTTCAAAACTTTCTGTGAGCTCTAGGGAATTTGGAACCATTTGGAAAATAAATATTCAAGTTATAGCTCAACATAACGCCGTTTTGTGCAAAGTTAGGTAATGTAACGGCATTTAATAAATTAACTAATGAATTATCGAATCTATTACACAGCAACAGAAATATGGCTGCCATACTATAAAAGCATTATCAGGTCAATCTCAATTTTAAAGTAATACATTTTTTGACAAACTCAAACAGAGTATGATAAAAATACTCGATATTGGGAAGATCAGGTTTTCTGATATTCGTACTGGAGAGAGAAATGTGAGCAACAGTGGGTAGGGGTTATGTAAACATATGTATGTATACATGAATATGGCACATTTAACTGGTTCCCATAGAATTTTTCTTTCTTCCAATATATATGAAATTTCTTTCAAGTTTTAAACTATGCCAACTTTCACCAAAATCATTTCAAAATAACTATATAGTTGAGGTATTTAGGATAAATGTGCTAAGGAGGTGAATGTTGCACAAATGGAAAACTTTGTTGACAAAAAAAACAAAACTAAACTTAATATTTCTCACATCACCTAACCTATAAAAATAGTAATATATAAATCAAACAATAATTGTTAAAACATGTTTATGTCAAAGTAAGTCGAGGTGAAGCTCCATACCCAATGGACGCTCGATCCAAGGAAAAACGGATAACGACTCCGAGCACCATTTTGTGTGTAACCATGGGAATGTAAGCAAAAGTCTGTACAGTAGCTGAATACAGTTATTTCCTGACTTGTGGTTACTAGAATAGGGTTTTCATATTCATCCCGCGAGGGAAAGCCGATAAGTCGGCATAATCATATTTTATAAAAAAGTTTTGTTTGTCGCAGTTAGGAATAAGAGAGTATGGATACAAGTGGAAGTATAGTGGTAAGATGCGTTGGTGCTGGAGACGTCTTGAAGTGGTAAAAGACATGACCTAGTGTTAATTAGTAAAAAAAAAAATTGTGAATGAAAACATTCGACATAATAAATGAAAGTGACAAAGTTCTAGAAAGTAGGTAACCTCTGATATGCAGCCTACAACACCTAGAGATTTGAGAAAGATCTATAACGAGTAAGGATGGATAAAATTACATGACCTATCATGTGAAAGACGTTGTTAAAGAATGTAGGGCAGAACTAGTGATGCTTTCCAAGCAGAAAAGTATCTGAATATATATACTTGTTAACAATTCCTATACCGGACATGATCTCATGACCTGAAGAGGAGGGAGCCATGCTTCACTGAATTTTAGCGACAAAATGGCAGGTGCGAATTTTTTGCATGCAATGCAATGAGGAGATAAAGTCTTGTTTTTATTCGAGAAATGTGTCATTGCTTGATTTTTATGAAAAGTAATTTCTTGATGGAAATCTCTATCCATGTGAAAAAATTACCATCGATGCCTGGAACTGCATATGCGTGCAAAAAATTATTTTCGAAAATGAACAATACAAAGACCAAGCAGTGAACTACAATTAGTGATGCTCATATAGAAAATGTTTAAATCTTGGCTTCGTCCAGCGCGACACCTGATGTACAAAAGATTCAAGTGTAATGCGACAACAGGTGTCAAATTGTCTAACAAAAGAACATATTCCAAATCCCTTTATTTTAATTTTACCATTTTTTTCATTAACTTTACTTTTCGCCACCTTCTGTCTCTTTTGAGCTGGTGATGGACTGCCACCCTTGCTGCTTTCCACCGCACTTGGTTTGGGAGAAATTTTTTCAGAGATTTGAGAAGAATCTGTAACAATGATATTTACATGTTGCGTTATCGTATTACTGCTCACATGAAAATAAAGAGTAATGAACAAAGGAGAAGTAGCAGTATTGCTTTACATATATTAGCACTTGACGAAAGCAATGTAACACATGATATTGCCATTGTACGGTGGTTCACAAAAACACGGGACACTGGATAATATCATGTGACTAATCAAGTAAAACTGAGGTGAATGAATGAACGTAGGCTAGAAGAAATATTGCTTTCCAAGCAGAATAAAATCTGAAACAAATACTAGTTAACATTTCCCATACCCGACATGGACTCATTACCGGACGAGAAGCCAAGGTCGACATCATGACTGTACCGCCTTATTACCTTTTTTCTCCCCTGGGAAAAATTTGAAAATTACCAATCGTGTGATGAATTATCTGTAAGACGCGCAATGCCAAAACTTGATGTTGCGTGATGGTTGAAAACTTTTAAGGCATAGTGAACTAATAGAGCGTTTGTAATGGAGAAAATGTGTAGAAAAAACTATTTGGTAAGAAATACACTTAGATCAGGCAGGATTGGGGGAGATTAGACAGTATGGTAGCAGGATAAATTTTTCAACATTTTTTCGAATCTCTTTTTGGAACAAGGAGTTAGACAAATAGTTTTATGAGATATCACCATGCTCTTGGAGGACTAGAATTTTCCCCATTAAGATTATTACGTCATAGATGAAAGGATCATTTGAACCGGATATCCTTAACATGTATTGCTAACATAGTTTGATAAAAAACTCAAGTCGTTTGATACAAGTAATTTTTGAACAAATCCACAACCAGCATTACCTTGATCAACTCCGGATTCATTAATCTCTGCTCTCTGTGCAACCGAACGTCCACTCTGATCACTGCCTGATGTGCTGGGAATATCCGAGCCTGCAACAACAGAAATATGGCTGTCATACTATGAAAACATTAGGAGACTATTGCTCTTATTTATTTCAAAACTTTCTGTGAGCTCTAGGGAATTTGGAACCATTTGGAAAATAAATATTCAAGATATAGCTCAACATAAGGCCGTTTTGTGCAAAGTTAGGCAATGTAACGGCATTTAATAAATTAACTAATGAATTATCCAATCTATTACACAGCAACAGAAATATGGCTGCCATACTATAAAAGCATTATCAGGTCAATCTCAATTTTAAAATAATACATTTTTTGACAAACTCAAACCGAGTATGATAAAAATACTCGGTATTGGGAAGATCAGGTTTTCTGATATTCGTACTGGAGAGAGAAATGTGAGCAACAGTGGGTAGGGGTTATGTAAACATAAGTATGTATACATGAATATGGCACATTTAACTGGTTCCCATAGAAATATTATTTTTTCCAATATATATGAAATTTCTTTCATGTTTTAAACTATGCCAACTTTCACCAAAATCATTTCAGAATAACTACATAGTTGAAGTATTTATGATACATGTGCTAAGGAGGTGAATGTTGCACAAATGGAAAACTTTGTTGACAAAAAAACAAAACTAAACTAAATATTGCTCACATCACCTAACCTATAAAAATAGTAATATATAAATCAAACAATAATTGTTAAAACAGGTTTACGTCAAAGTAAGTCGAGGTGAAGCTTTATACCCAATGGACACTCGATCCAAGGAAAAACGGATAACGACTCCGAGCACCATTTTGTGTGTAACCATGGGAATGGAAGCGAAAGTCTGTACAGTAGCTGAATACAGATATTGCCTGACTTGTGGTTAACAGAATAGAATTTTCATATTTATCCCGCGAGGGAAAGCCGATAAGTCGGCATAATCATATTTTATAACAAAGTTTTGTTTGTCGCAGTTAGGAATAAGAGAGTATGGATACAAGTGGAAGAATAGTGGTAAGATGCGTTGGTGCCGGAGACGTTTTGAAATGGTAAAAGACATGACCTAGTGTAGATTGGTAAAAAAAAAAAAATTTAATTTGTGAACGAAAACATTCGACATAATAAATGAAGGTGGCAAAGTTCTAGAAAGTAGGTAACCTCTGATATGCAGCCTACAACACCTAGAGATTTGAGAAGGATCTATAACGAGTAAGGATGGATAAAATTACATGACCTATCATGTGAAAGACGTTGTTAAAGAATGTAGGGCAGAACTAGTGATGCTTTCCAAGCAGTAAAGTACCTGAAATATATACTTGTAAACAATTCCTATACCGGACATGATCCCATGACCTGAAGAGGAGAAGCCATGCTTCAATGGAATATAGCAACAAAATGGCAGGTGCAAATTTTTTGCATGCAATGCAATGAGGAGATAAAGTCATGTTTTTATTCGAGAGATGTGTCATTGCTTGATTTTTAAAAAAAGTAATTTATTAATGAAAATCTCTATTCTTGTGAAAAAATTACCATCGATGCCTGGGCGTGAAAAAAATTATTTCCGAAAATGAACATTACAAAGACCTAGCAGAGAACTACAATTAGTGATGCTCATATAAAAAATGTTTAAATCTTGGCTTCGTCAAGTGCGACACCTGATGTACAAAAGATTCAAGTGTAATGCAACCAGAGGTGTCAAATTGTCTAACAGAAGAACATATTCCAAAACTTTATTTTAATTTTACCGTTTTTTTCATTATCTTTACTTTTCGCCACCTTCTGTCTCTCTTGAGCTAGTGATGGACTGCCACCCTTGCTGCTTTCTACCGCACTTGATTTGGGAGAAATTTTTTCAGAGATTTGAGAAGGATCTGTAACAATAATAATTACATGTTGCGTTATCGTGTCACTGCTAACATGAAATTGAGGAAAATGAACAAAACAAAGGTAGCAGTATTTCTTTACATACAGTAGCACTTGATGAGAGCAATATATTATGACACATGAGATTGTCATTGCATGGTGGTTTCCACTTAGAGCCTTCATTCAGGAGTATGTAGTCCTGCATATCTTTAAGCCCTTTTTCGAGTTACAGTCTAGTTTATTTTCCAGCCAGTAAAAAAGTAGTAATGAATACAAGAAGTGAACCTATGGTAAAGTAGGCATATAAGTTGGGTTTTCATGGTATGTTCTGGATTAGGATAAATATAAAACTGTAGGCAAATGGTTAGAGTAAGCATATAAAGTGGGATTCATGGTATGGTCTGGGTTAAGATAGATATAAAACTTT